TTCACCTTTGATGTGATGGATGCAGATGGCAACAAAGTGATGGACCAGGTTTTTTACATCCATGTCATAGGTAAAAGGCAGTTATGCTTTCTTTGCGGCAGCGCTCAGGGCTGCTCCCAGATTCCATCCCACATGCACTGCAAGGCGAAATGTAATTCTTGAGACTCGGTTTTGATGCGCCGTCAATTCCAAGGCCTTTGAAGTGAGGGGCAAGGGGAGATTTTGCAGATGTAAGGGTTCATTCTTTGGCTTCTGACAAACTCAGTGAAAAGGTAGAAAAATTCCCCTTAATATCTTCCACATTCTGTTGGGATTGTCTATAAGACATTATAATGTTATCAACCCTGATCAATGGCAAGGCCTAAGTTCCTGTTTTGGAATTATCAAAACATTTGTGCGTGTGTTTTGTTTTCCTGCCCAAGTACCCACGGGAAGAAGCATCTCCTAACTCAGCTTTGTGTTTAACCCTTCCAGAGGACAGATTTCCCCCCTCTATCATCACTAACAAGGGGCTGGTGTTGGATGAGAACTCGGCAAAGACAATCACAACCCTCCAGCTCTCGGCCACTGACCAGGACAGCGAAGCCTCCCAGCTCCAGTTCAAGGTCACCCGGCAGCCACAGCTGGGGCATCTGGAGCACGTGGCTTCCCCAGGTGAGCTGGGAGGTGTTGGGCCCTCACAGCAGCAAAATGCTGGAGGCTTTTGAGCCCTAAACATTCACTGCAGGAAAAATGTGCCCCAGAGGCAGCGACACACAATTCCAATTCCTGTTAGAAATCAAAGCTAAAAAAAATGAGCCCAGAGGGTTGGGGAATAAGGTGAGTGGAGGCAGAGCAGCCCAATAATCCCAGTTTAGGATTTATTCAGCCTCTGAGCCAGTTTCTGGCCCTACTGCTGCTTCTGCAGTAGGTTTTCCTTTTCTCACAGGAAAACCTTTGGCCTTTGCTGTAAACAGCAAAGAATCCATCCCTTAATGTCCTTGGAAACAGCTCATCTTGGTGCACAGACTGTCCTCCTTGGGGCTTTCTGTCCTCCTCTTGGCCAGTATGTCCCTTGATCCCTAAAGCCCAGCCTCTTTCCCTAAGCGGTGCGGTGGAGAGAGGAAGGGAACCGTCCACTGAGTTTAACAGGAAGCGATGTTGGGGTGTGATGGTTGTGCTGGATAATGAACTCTGGTTGTTCAGGGAAGGGGGTTGGTCAGTCCTGCACATGTGATCTGAATTTCAGAGCTGCCTTTCGTGCCTGCTGACTGTGTGAGTGTGCTGCCTCTCTCTGATGAATTAATCTAAATCTGTGGTGTCATAAAATACGCTCTTCTGATTTTATTATACTCATCTAAGGTTGTATTTCTTCTTAGCTTTAGATTTCTCGTTAATCTCTCACCCTGAGATTAAAGTGGAAGTATCTGCTGTGTGTTTTCAAGATGCAGACAGTCCCTGTACAGCTCAGTTTGGCTGTGTGGTTTGCCTCATCTTCTCACAAAAACATGTTGAAAGGGCAGGAATAATGAATGAGTTATAATAAGCAAACTACTCCCTGCTGTGAGAGTAAATTAAAAACTTGCAGTATCTTTGTCTAAATTGCAAACTAACCAGTGAATCTTGTACTTTGGAGACTTGAATTAAGGGCTTTACTCCTCCTGTTATTTAAAATCTGATGATGATTCTGATTTCTCTGCTTTTTCATGTCTGTGAGGGACTAATAAGGCTACAGAGTCACAGACTGGGAAGTAGCTGTAACCATGATTTAAATGACCTAAACCTAAGGAGAGAGTACTGAAGTGTTCAAAAGAGAACCCAAACCTTTCCGGCTGATGAGCTCTGAGGAAATATTAGCTGATCATTCCATTGTGGCTCATTTATTTAAATCAGATCCTGGTGTCTTCTGTAGTGTGGCCAGCACTTGTCAGCAGCCATTTAGTGCGATATACTGGTGGCAAACTTCTCGTCAGGATGTTGGTTGATAGCAGCAGTAAAAACTGTTGAACACAGCAAAGAGATTTAAAAACGCTCAAGTGTTTTTTAAAATGCTTGTCAGGTACCTTTCTGTGGCTGTGTCACACCTAATGGGCTGTAAAGATGTCACTATAAATCAGTGCTGGAAATGGGACTGGGTACTAAATGCAGGGGTATAAGGAAGGGCAGAGAGAAGAGATCCTTGGAAGGCATTTTGGAAAACTGCTGTGAGGCCAGGAGTAGCTCATCCTCAGTGATGCCATGTTGGATTAGTCCTGCCCAGCAGTGACAACCCAAGTGTTACATGGACAGTTTTTCTCCCAGCTTCTCTGCCCCAGGAGGCTCACTGCCAACAGGAGGAGTTGAAAAGAAGCCTGGACTTCTTTTTGAGAAGGAAATTTTAGGAGGCTCTTTGCCAGCTAAATCCCTGGCTCAGCTGAGGGTTCACAGGGCAGCCTGACTTGGATCAGAACCAGCCAAAACCGAGTCCTCATGCCTAAATATGTCCTGCTTCCTGTAGTTTTTCCCTGCCTTGCTCTTTCTGCTGCACATTTCCTCCCCGTTGTTCATTTTCCAGGGACAAGAATTAGTTCCTTCAGCCAGGCAGACTTGGCCTCTGGCAGCATCCAGTACATCCACACCAGTGACGAGGAAAAGCACACGGA